ATTGGTGTCAGAATCGTGAGAATACGTGAAAATACAACGAGTAGTTTCTATTAATAAACTATTAAAAAATATACAGTATATTTTATGAATGAATAATAAATAATACACTTTTTAACCCATTTTTTACTTGTTAATTTATTGTTTTATGCACTTACTTTGATATTTTTTGGCAAATTAGCAAACGTTTTTACAGTTTTAAATGTCATAAACCTTGGTTATGCCAACCATAATTTGGACAAACTATAATTTGTGATAACAAGTACTAGTTTCTGCTCATGTTAACTAATTTATATTTTTTGATATTAATAAATAATTGTTCTATAATGTTCATTTGGTTTATTTATTTATAAATTAAAGTTTTCTGTTGTTTGTTCACAATACATATTGTTTTCTTGTTGGCACATGGCGTTATCCTAGTTCATTTTTGAGATAACTTGGCCAACATTTTTGCTTGTCATCAAGATAGTCACAATACGTATTATCAACTTAAAGTCGATTGACTGTACTGAAGGTGATAATTTTTTTCACCGCTACAGCTGGAGACTTCAACGGTCTGCTTTAAAGTTCCTTAACACTTCAATACTGCACGTTTACAGTAGTGCTATTTTAGTTGCAGGACAGCTAACTTTAAGGCAGTATTTATTTATTTTATCTGTTATACACAAATCGATAAATATTAGTATTGAGTTTGAATTATTGGCGATTGATCTTGGTAAATGGACAAAGTCAATATTAGATGACCGTATATTGTATAAAAATAACTTCCTATCCTCATGATGATTTGTTTTATCATATAAGTACAACCATTTAGTTTTACTGTGCTTTGACTAGTCGCTTGTCTCTGAGTTAAAAAACGTGTTCAAGATATCCGTGCTCATTATAACTGAATACAAAAAAGACATTTTAACTCGGATAGAGAGCATGCTCAGTCGCCGATATTATTTTTAGGACTTCTTACTTAAATATATGATTAAGGGTTTTGTGCACTATTTTATCCACTTTGAGGAGACTCGATCTCGGCCGTTTTTAAGGAGTTCGATATAGGCAATTTTCAATGGTTTTTCTTGGGGGGCGTTTAAATGTGTGCATAGTAAGTGATCATTAGTGTGAGTGACTGTGTATAAAATAATTTAATGGAGCGCTCTCGCATATGCATGTTTAACGTACATACTCATGTCAATAACGCATTACACAAATTAAATTACAAGAATTACTTATTGATTATTGTACTGCCAGAAATAATTGCTATAACTAGAATTATAACATATCAAATTAAAAATCTACCTACCATCTTTAGTACTTTACTAAGGTATAGTTATTACATGTCCGTATTCAAAAACCTTAGAAGGTGAACCTTTTTTTATGAATGACTCTGGACAAAGTGACTAAAATAAGAGTCTTAGTGTTTTCAGCTTTTTAAAATATCAAGAATCAGAATCATATTAGGTATAATGACAATTATAACGAATTACGAGAAGAGTATAATTAAAAAATTGTATTTTCAGATATCAAAGGGAAGCGGTTTCAATGATTTCTTACAGGTTAAAAAATATATTTGGACCCTCGTGAAGATAATAGAAATAATATAAAATATGATAATGGATAAATGAGGCGTTTTATTTTCACGTTTTAATATATTTCATTTTTATGCGTATTGGACATTGTTATCATATTATATTCCTTATTATTTATTTTATCTTATTAAATTTTTTTTATTTTTATTAAAAAATCTTTTCACAAATTTCTGGGTCTCACTGAGATAACGCATGATGTGGAGGCTAAGGTATATTGTACCACTTAGTGGTTTAAAATATATCTTATAATTGAACTAAATAATAATATTACTAATATGTAGATTTTAGATATATTGTTGTCTATACCTATATTATCATATTATGTTGGTCACGATTTTTGATCAAGTGACTAGACTGACTTAGTATACATTGTAGCTTTATGGGGACAATGTACTGCCTTATTGATACTTTATTAATATAATATGCTGTTCAAGTATAATTTGTATAAATACTTGATGTTGGTAGGTACGTTATTAATTTATTGTAAATTGTAATAAATAATAATAAAATATAAATATTATATAATAAAAGAATCCAATCTTATAATTATGATACAATGTAATCACTGCCAATCTAAAATTTAACAAGGGTATAAACAAAACAAATATGTTCATTTATTCTTACAAAATGTATTATTTTTTAACTATAATAGGTAAGTAAACAAACAATCATAATAATAATCATCCATTTAATTTTTAACAAATTACGGCTATGAGCTACCAATATAAACATTGCATATTTACATTATAGACAATTCAATATAATTATTATGATGTAATCGATAAACCTAATATAAACTCAAATATAAAATATACTCTTGAGGAACGCCAATGTTTTACACTCAAAAAATCTAAAAGCTATAATTGTGTAACAAATAAAACTAACAACAAACTTTTTTACCTTCAAGTACACGAAATAAAATACAAATTGTCTTAGTAAATTATTTATACATGCGTTCACCTGGTGATGTGCTGGTTATCTCCTTTGGTCAAAATTTAGTCCATGCATCATTTGAAAACAATATAGGTGTTATACACACGAAACGCGTTACAAAAATTTGAAAAATGTATACTGAGATCATAAATTATAATCAAAACCTACAATGTGTTATAAATGTATATTATTTCTCTTCAATTTACTTTAGAAGATTAACTATTATTAATACAATATTTATTTTTTGGACCAAATCGCTGATATTTTCATGACCCTATCGTATAAATCGGGGTCATAAAATTTCAAAACTCGTACCTATAAACAATAATTTAAACATATTTTATTGAAATAAATAACACGAATAGGTAATATCAAATAATATTCAATTAATTTTAATATGTATTGGTAAATAAGTTTAAATAAAAATTAATCTCAATAATTAAAAGTAGATATTGTATAATATAATGTTTACATAATATACCGAATTCATGTCAATATCATAAAATTCAGGAAATTTTTTTTTTTTTTGATAATCTAACGATTATATTTCGTTATTTTGATCCCCTATTTTATGATTTTATTTTTTTTACCTACTTAAAATATAATATAAATATATAAAGTAGATAAATATGTGATTTTTAATTGATTTTAACCGGTAATGAATGTTTGAGATTGTTATAGACAGCTGCTGCAGTGAACAAGACAATCTATACATTTTATGTAAATTGATTTTATTGGTTGGGTGATGCGTACATATTACCAGTCGATTCAGTATTACAGTGACTGATTAAAATTATCATAATATAAACATATAACGACTATTTGAACAATAATGGTATACATACGTACCGCAGAAGGCAATAGTATAATCTATATTCTATTATAGGTAAATCTTAATTATTAGTCTTTAGGCCACTATACTACTTTAAATATATTATAAGTATATTTTTGAATTATCGATGTCTAAATTATTTCTGTATTTAATTACTTATGGGTTATGGTTTAATGTACCTATATATAATTACATCTACACCTTATTACCATATTTGTTATACAATGTAAAATTATAGTTTTTGAGTTTAATAAACAATAATAATAATAACAGAATAATCACCAATATTTAAATCGAAGTGTTTAAACTGCTTTATAGTTTATTGTACTAATATAATATTGTCAAGTTTTAAACCCGTATTTGAGCACTATTGTAAAACTAAAAACAAAATCGGTCACAATAGATTATTGAAAATATTTAGATAATAATTATAATATTTAAAAATTTTTAGATAATATTATAAAACCAAAGGGCTCATGTAAATTTCACTGGTAAATTTATTGTTCTGAAAAATGTACTTAAGCTCCACCGTTACTAAATTGATGTCAGCTAATAAACTTAACAGATAATATTGAAAAAAAAACCAAATCCAAATTTTCTATGCACGATAATTGTTCTGTATACAATATTAATATAATGAAAAATAAATAAATTTAAACTTAATTTGTCAACTATGATTAGATGCCTACGAGTCTGGTGAAATGAAATGGAAATGCAATAACAAATTTTGTTTTTTTTTTTTATGTATATTATATTATAATATTATACAATACATTTATATTTTTACCTGATTTTTTTTCTTGGTGGTATTTAATTGGACCCGACCTTGCATGGTTTATTTTTGGTAGAGTTACCACTAAAAATAGGTACTTGATATCGGAGTTTACATGCGCCCATTAAAACGATCGATCTTGATGAAAAAACTGTAATAAATAAATATTCAACAATATTCATAATTTCACTACCTATTGGAATTTTGTATGTTTAGAGTGTGATGCCATCATAGTTACTAGTTACAACGATCAAATGTATCTAATAATAGTAATAAACACATAGTTACTGAGTACATACTATGTGTCTATTTTATTATATTTATCATCTATATATCTATATGCATATCTGAACATTACTAAGCAATTGTATAAAAAGAGCTTATATACCTAATTATTAATTTATCAATGTATGGTACTAAAAAGAAATGAGAATTCGACGATTTTAAAAAAGAATAAATAATATTGTATTGCGTTGTATAATCAAAAAAGTGATAGAAAGAGAGTGGAAAATGGGGAACGATATCGATTCACGTGGCTACAAAAAGAAAAAAAAAATCTGATTCTGTTTTTGTAATATAGGTAGGTATCATATCCAACATTAACGATCGCTATCAAAAGATAACTACTGGAGAAAAACACAAAAATCGGATTTGTGTAAAACTACTATGGAGTAACGCGTCACACCTTCTCCTATACGCCACGCAGAAGATGTGGTTATTGTTTTGCAAGGGTGCAAGTCTCCTCGTTTTTGAAAATTTTGGGGGCCCGCATCGGAAAACCGTAATGCGCATCTCAGCCGGTGTTTTTCGCCCCCCAAATGAAATGCGAGTGCTTGAGACGCGATTACCACGACAGCTGATCGTTCGTCGATTGTCATGCGGACTCGCGTCACTCGGAGACCGTCGTGGACGTGGGACACTCGTCGATGACGTTTATTGAACACTCGCTGCCGGCGTCGGACGTGTCCTGCAACTCGTCGGTTGTGGTCGTGGACGAAACCCGGCTGCCGGGTTCGTGTTGCAGGTACGCCGCCACTACCGGTCCGTACTCGTAACAGTAGTAAGGGGCAGCGCCGGAAGCGGCGACGGCGCCCGGAGGAAAGTGGTGCAACCCGTTGCCGAAAGTGGGCTGGTGGTGCAAATAACCGACCGGGGCGTGTTCAGCACCTCCGCGGTGGAGGCGTTGGTGGTGTAAGTGGCTTCGGTGCTGGTGCAGTTGCTGTTGCAACAGCTGCTGCATTCGGTAATCGCCACTAGCCGCCGCCGCCGCTGCAGCAGCCGCCGCCGCCGCCACGGCCACTGCACCCTGGGCTGCATGTCTGGACGACTGACGGTGATAGGCCTCGGGCGACATCTGGTGCGAGGCCTCCTTGGGACACTCGTCTTCGCGGACCAGGACTTTGACCGCCACTCTTTTGGCAGGCGGACTACCTCCACCACCTCCACCACCCAAGGACGGCACTTGCAGCTGCTTGCGCTTGGTCTTGTACCGCCTGTTCTGGAACCATATCTTCACCTGAGTCTCGGTCAACTTCAGTGAGTGGGCCAGGTCGGCACGTTCCGGGCCCGACAGGTAACGCTGCTGGTTGAACCGCCGTTCCAACTCGAACACCTTCGCGACAGACAGTAAAAACCATATCGTTAGATGTTTAATTATATATAACAATTGTGTGGGTAGTTACAGGCGGTGGATCGTTTACCTCCAGAGTACAGAGTCCTACAGACTATACACTACAGTTATATAGTTTCTATTTTTTTTTATTAACAAGTACCTACTTGAATTATAGACGAGTGCTATAATAGCCGCGGAACACGACTTTTTCGTGGTACCTTCCTACTACTGGCCATAGTTTAACTTGAAATACTTACTTAAATAAAACTATTAATTCAATATTCCTTAATTTAAAATATTTAGCGAGTTGCAAGTTTTGGTGTTTGGATGATGTATAGTACCATTAGGTATATAGCTGGTACTGACCTGGGTGTGAGAGAAAGCTGCTCTGGACCGTTTTTTGCGTTGTTGTATGTGCAGTGGCCTCTCACTGTGAGTCCGAAGGAATCGTGACAGTGCACTCCGGTGGTCCCCCGTCCGATTAAATATAAAACCACCGTTACCTAAAAGTTCGATTCTTCTCCGGTATTCGATATCATGGAACTTAAGATCATCTGAAATACGTAAATTAACTATAAATATATCATGTTTAACGAAGTCTTGGCAAACGCGTCGATGGTACCACATCATCTCAACCTAAGGTTGGTTGACAATTTGAATAGACAGGTATCTAACCTTACCTAACCAAACCCAAAACACATCACCCATACCTAACATAACTAAGTTACCCGAATTGCCGCTTTATAAATAATTACCTAATGTGATATCTGCTTAAAAATTTTACTTATCTCTGGAGTAGAGTGGGTACAATACTGGTAGCTAAAATCAAACATTTTTTTTGCAAAAATGCAAAATTTCTTGATGGTGTAAGTATAGGTATACCATGGAAATAATGATTTAAATCTTACCAAGATCGGCGTCAACAGGATCAAATACAAAAAGTATTAAATTTAAAAAAGTAAAATTATCAGCAATTTAGACATCCATCTATTGCCAAACTTCAATTTACTCGTGTTTACAACTGGGCTTGAGAAACTGTGGTTCGTTTCGGTAGTTTGGTGAGGTTAGTGATTTTTTTTATCTCTTAACATTTTATGGAACATTTTCGATAACATTGTACCAGTCTAGGACCCGTAAGTTAATAAGAAAATTTCCACGATTATAATATAATAATTTTTCATCAAAATATACGAAAAAAAACCGTCTACCTATTTTGGTCATGTTTCAAATGTTAACCCTCATCTCTCCCGAACCTAGTGTCTTAAAAACAATTCAGCCAACCTGAGTCACTGCGGAAACGTGTCCACTAATGGATAAAACAGCTCACTTAATCAAGTGTCATTTGATATCCTGGCGTTAAACCATAATGTGGAAAAAGTACCTAGAACACTACCTCCATCCCTAGTGTAATAATCGCTCACCGCCATTTAATAAAAAACACATAAATACATAATACAATATAATGTAAATAAATTGAGTAATTTATTATTCAACTTCGAAAGCATTTAAATAAATTACTGCTAAAAATAAACTACTGTTATTTGTAATAATAGTTTTTTTTATCCATCCGATAATTTTCATCCAAAATAACATTTTCTATAATTACATTTTCATTTCATATCTGAAAAAAATATTATTTCAAATTAAAATAAAGGGATGTATTGAATATTTTTCATGAAAACGATAGTAGCAGATTTTACAAGAAAATAATTGCATGTAGGAAGAATACAGTAATACTTCAAAACTAGAGAGTTAAAATAATATAATTTATTGTGTTATATAATGTATATATTATTATACTTATATATTAATTTGTTTTAATTAAGTTATTATTCATCTATCTTGTTGTACGTCGAACAAATAAAATAAACGTGCATTATTCTATAATATTAATGTAGTTACATAATATATAATAATATAATATTATATAGTGCTCGACTTAATAGGTAACTAAATAGTATGTTGTATTCCAATGATATATAAAACATTTTTGTTCCTTAGCACATTATACTAGAAATCGTATGGGCTAACTGTGTGTATACCGTATACAGTATACACATACAAATTACGCCACTGAAATGTATATAATATGGGCACGTATTCGTGTAATAATTATTTTATAGTACCTATAGGTAACAATTATTATTGTAGTTATGAACTTTTGCAGAGAGAGCTGTCCGGGGGTACTCGGGTGGTACGTACGTCGAAAAAGTGTCGTCGGCCTCCCGTCGGGTGCATTGACTATAATATCGTATTATACACGGAATTGCTGTAACAACAATGGCATAACGTACGTACATAACTTATGCACGTATTATAATAGGTATCATAACCGCGGTAACGGTCGTACAAGCCCGTGCCCATCGTCGGCTAATAGCGTTAAAAGGTTTTTATTATTTTTCGCCGTGTGAAATAAGAAATGACAGCAACAACAATGATAGGTAATAATAATATAATATGGGTAATGTAAACGACGTGACGTGACACTTGCACCACTTGTACAGGACCGGTCGTGCTTTTACCTTGACACGCGCTCAGCACGCGTCGCTTCTCTTTCTCGCATTTATAATAATATAATACGCCATCGTGCCATGTACCTCGGCTAATGGACGGTACGGGCGCCTATAACCCATAAACCTCCCAAAACTATTACAATACACACTGTATCGTTGTATAATATGGTTTTCCACGCCGCACTAGACCAGAATATAATAATAAGCCATTAGGTCTCGACTTATATAAATAATATTGTATATATAGGTACTATTATACGCGTATTGTTTTGTTTTTTTTTTTTCATTAACTTTTTATGGGACCTAAAAACGTCCGCTGCAGACCTATACAATTATTATCATGTACAACGTGTGGGACTGAATATAGCTGCAATTGCAATAGCAACGTATTTGAAGGGGAATCGGTTTTGTTGGTGTGCTAGACGATTTTCCTTTAAAAGAATGTCCGTCGCCTGGGAGATAGGTCTCTCGTCGACATAAGTGACGAGAAACATACGCTTAACGATAAAAAGTTACAATACGATATTATATTATTATTTCGAGTCAACTATTGGAGTGGCAAGGAGATATAAAAATTTTGTATTCTAAGTACCATATAATATCATAGAATGATGTTGGTCTGGAGCATTTTTTTAATAGGTTTTTTAAATTATCAATATTTTCAAATCATTTAGATATACGTCCAATAATAATATACCTATAGAGTTTTGATTTGTTTCGTATTATTGTATTAATACTGTTCAAAGTGGAAGTCGCAGTATTATATTGGTATGGATAAACAAAATACTAATTTCGTAAGAATAACTGTAGAAAAAAAATCAAAAATTATTATATAATCAACACGAAACGCTCGATTATTTATCGACGCAGAGGTCACTTATTCCTGCAGCTCCCTCTCGTATAATCTCCCGTATTATATACTTATATTCTTTCTAATTGATTCGAGCTGTCACGGAGGACGGTAATCAGATATATATATATACACACCTACATATCATATATATATTATACGATGCGTGTATATAATACTTCAACGGTGGCAAGGAGTCGGCGAGGCTGGAGGGTGCGGGGTGTCGGAAGAGCACTCACCGCGAGGCTCCTGTTAATGCATCGCACTTGACTTCCAAACAAAACGAGCGTATATATATACACCATATTATATAGTCTGGTTCGTATATATAATAATAATAGTAATAATAATAATAATACGTGATCCGTTTGTTTGCTCGTCTCGTGAACGGGCTCTGCCGCAGACGTCACCGTTTGTTTACCTATACGGGACATAAAATAATAATATATTATATTATCAATCGACCCCTCGCCCCACTGCCACCTCCACCACCGACGTATTATACAGCCTCCGCGGGACCCACTTCGACCATATCATTCGAGGGGTGCAGAGCTCGCGCTCGTTCAAGTGGATAATCACGGGCGCGAACTATCGCTGTGCAGACGGACAGATTCGATCGGAAGAGTTTCCACAGACCAGGACGAACGAGAGGGAAATATGACGAAAGAGCACGAGATTTGACCGTTGGAGGGAGAGTGGACGAGAGAGAGAAAGAAAACTATTATTATCATTGCCTATATACCTATCCGTTATTATAATGCGTATATTACACTGCACGCAATTGAGGACACACAGTCATCCGGTCGGACACGAAGTATATTGTACGGCAGACCACGGTGTATACACATATATTTTAAGGTGTTTTTTTTTAAAATTTTTTTGTACTGCAGTTTATTGACTTATTGTTTTGTTTAAGAATTTAATAATTTGTGTGATAGTGTCTGCGTCTTGTCCGAGTGCTGCGTCTTAGGTGTTGGGTATGTTGATATTTCTATGTTCATCTATGTATTTGAGACTTTCGGTGATTAAGTGGTTGACTGAGAATTCAGTTCCACAAGAAATGCACAGTGAGTTTTCTCCTTTTTCCATGAGGAATCCATGTGTAGACGAGTCTGGCCGATGCGGAGTCTGTTAATCATACTATTATTACGTGTTTAAAATATAGTCATCGGCGTCGTAATAAGTGGCTCTATAACCCCCCGCTGAGTGGCAACCTCGATAGTGATTCTCCCGCGGGTATTCTCACGGTTAATTATAATTTTCGTTTCTCTATTGTTCAATAGATATAATTTAATATTAATATGTCCATGTGCAACAATAAAATATTGTTATACCGTCCGCTGATGCTGCTACTGCTATATTAGAGCGTTTGAAGCCTTTCTATATTATATTTTATGTTAACATAATTTTTAAATGTGTATACGTCTTCGAAGCCCTTCTAGTCCATTATGATAGTTTCTTTAGTGTCCCGCGTAACGTAGGAAAATGCTTAAAAGCAATAATGTGATTAAAATAAAACGATATACATATTATATCTTGAGTAAGTAAATATATTATTTATTATATTATATTAATTGACTTAGATACATTATCATTTTCAAAAAAAATTATTCACTAAATAATTAACAGTATAAATACGGAAGGTTACCATTTTAAAAATATAAATCTTATTACTGTAGGACACTCTTTAAGTAGTGCAGAAAATCTCAAGAATTTGAAAATTCAAAATATTGTGGTTTTTAAGTCGGTATATTTAAATATTCGAAAAATCAAAATTTGAAGAAATTCATAAGTTATTAAATAAAAAAAAAACCGGAGTGAGCATGCTTGGTAAATCAACCTGTATTTATCATAATTCATGAGTACTGCATAATATAGGCAAGTAGCTTTTTATGTTGGCAAATGGCAAAATATAACACTCATTTTCGGTAATTCTATTTAACATATTACACGAGTAATAATATTAAATAATTATAAGAATTTAAAAGCTAACTGTACAATTCTATACATGCACGTTGATAATGTAAAAGTCTACTAAGTAAGTACAAATATCTTTGTAAAAAATTGTTCTTAACATTTTGAAGTGTCGTATGTTAAGTGTGGCCAAAAGAACTTTCGGTTTAAAGTGTTGATTTATTATGAAAATAAACTATTTATATACTTATGTCTTATACCAAACGCATTATTAGTGGTGCACGTTTATCTATATGTTTATGAATACCATTAAATGAACAAATGTTTTAATTCTGTTTATTTATTCTTAAATTAAGAATTATGTTTACATTAAAACACGAACGTTTTAATTTTCAATCTTCTTCAGTAAAACGCTCATATTCTACATTCAGAATGCACAATAATCTGATAAATAAATTAGTTATATTAAACATTCACTAACATATACATTAAATAAAATGAATCAATCAACAATTATAATATGGGTATTAACTATTAGTTAAATGGCAAATGAGTCTATTAAAATCAAATCACGTGGTAAACGTTAAACGAGGGTGGGGAGAATAACAACAAAAGAAAATTTAACTAATTTTCCAACCACTCCGACAGATATAAATGTATAATACCAGTCATAACTCATAACTCATATTTACGAATAAAATCTATTGATTAAGTAATAACATGTTTGCACGATATATATTATAAAGTAATATAAAAACATTAATTTACATTTTATAATTTCATGCTTAATTTTGAATTTGATCGAGTAGGTATCTCGAATACTAGGTGACAGGTGTACTATGATAATATACTAAGTCTCTATGTACAACTTCTTTAAAAAAAATATTTTCATTAAATGTTATAAATGATATAGTAATTTAGTCTTGAATAAATTAATACAACTTTTTTATTTAAAAATTATTTTATATAAAATATACAATCTGTTAATAAGTATTTAATAGGTATACAATACGCGTAATATTATGTTGTGACAATGTTATACAGACATGAAAAATCAGTCGACCAATGGTGACACTTTAATCATTTAATAGAAAATAAATTAAGAGTTAATAATTTATGACAGTCTAAATAAATAATAAGAGGTCAATAATTAATTCAATATTTTACCTAAAACATATTTCAAAAATTATTTATTTATAAGCTTACTAGCTGTCACTCGCTTGCTCCGCCCCCTGGATAGTTGTTTGAAAATTGTGTGACTGTTTCGTAGCTCCAAAAATCCTGTTTTTTTTTTATATGAAAAGTAATTGAACTGTTAAGAACTTATCTTAACTTTTCCTTTCCCCTTAAAAAAAATTCTGATTGTTCAAATTCTTTTGGGTGTAATATAATATGATGTTGATCACCAGCATATAATAATACATTATAATTCCCACATTTTAAATATACTGTCAATTTGTAAAGTTATAAAATAATAGTCTAACAGTTAGACTCTATCTAATAACATATTTGCTAATTTCATCGTTCTATAGCAGGGGTGGTCAAACTTGTTTTAACTTGTTTAACTTGTTTCTACTGAGGGTATATTTTTTCTTTTAGGATCGCCTAATTTAAAAAAATTATTTAATATTAATAGTAAACATACTTATATAAATAATAAAATTAAAGTGTTAAGTGATCTAAAATGAGTGTTTCATGTTAAATTTTTAGGTAATTTTAAACTGTATTAACATTTTATTGTTGATGTAGAAGCGTGTCATTGCACATCATGACCAAGCTAAGACGCTGTGCTAAAGTCTAAAACTAACCTACTCAGCTTCTATAAATTATAACTTTCATGTGAGAAAATGCCATTTCACACTAACAGGTTAATCTGAAACATATGTATTTAATAAGTGTATCTACTAAATTGAAAATATATAAGAATAATTAATAAATTCTAACAATGGGGATCGACTTAGAAATCGTCGAAGATCGAACAGTCTGTTCTATAGGCACAATATTTCCTGAAAAAAACTTTTCCCGTTTTCAACAATTTAAAAATAAAAATTACCAAAGTCTAGAAAAAATCGTTTCCTGAGAGTATTTTTGTCCTAGTTGTTGACTTTCCTGATTTGTATAACCATCCTCGTTCACGTCGACGAGACGAGACGAGACAAACCTGACAAGTATTCGATATCGTAATCAATAGATTTATATAGAACAAACACAATTGATATCTTATAATAACGCTGCAGGTTATGACATTTTACGAAACAAGTAAAAATAATTCCTATTCATCATTATAGTAGGTATATCAACGATTGTATTGAAATATAAAGGGCATAAAGTACATTTCTTAACAATGAAGAAATAATAATTTGAATGCGATTCGTTTAGGCATCGGACCATCGGACCAGACACGCAACTTGATAAATAAATTAAACTTGATAGCTAAATATAGTTAAAATTTATTTATTTAACAGTTAAATATACAATAAGTATACAACGATGAGCCACAGTAATTATACTGGGTTTAAACTTAATTTATGAAAAACGGTAACCCGACTTCTAAATGGTGGTTGATATAGAGTGAAACATCAGCTTGCCTTCATTTTTCCTTCAATAATAATACTATCAAATTATGATTTTTTGAATTTTGAAGTAGGTATTTATACTTAAATTAAATATTCTTAATAGAGAACCACCCTTTTTGCTGTATAAATATTTTATCAGATTTTGAATCTAAATAGTAGGTACATCTAAATTTAAATTTGAATAAGTATGTTTTGAGTTATTCAACTTTATTACTGGTATAGTAATCTTAAATTGAATGTAAAAATAAGTATTTAATATTTAGTTATTTAGTATAGAACCAACTTTGTAGCATAGGTACAAAAATAGTATTATTTATAATTTTTAAAATTACTTAAAAATATAAACACAAATTATTTTTCATGAACGTGTTTTGTCTATGTTTGAGTGGGTAAGAGAGAGAAAACAAATGGCTTACTAATATATTAATATTAAGTAGAATAATGTTTTTGATTCATTGTTGACCCCCCTTCTCACATCATTGAAGTATTTTTATTGACTTTGAAGTTTGATAAATCATTACTACCTACTCGTTCAAATTACATTATGAATTTATCAACATTTTTAAAAAATTAATCTCCCTTGCAATTTACAGTAAAAAGGGTGTTATACTCAATTGAAAAAAAGAGATGTTTATAACGATATAGGATATTATGTAAATCGTATGAAAAGTATAAGGATTGAAAATAATGTCTTTAATATTTTCAAAAAATTAGAATTTTCATAAATTATTTGTTAATGGAAAAATGGGAGGAAGTTTGTTAATATATTTATCACTCTGAATTATAGTTAGCGTAAGTTAAGTATATTGTAAATAAATGATTTGCATACATTTACCCAGCTCAGCAGATACCAACTAGCCGATATAAACATGCATAATAAACATAATATAGGTGGATTTAAATTAACTTAAAAACTAATATTTTTAAACAATTTAGTTGTCCCGAAAACAAACATAATATTTTATATTGAGGTAATGAGGTTGATCAACGTTTGAGTACCGAAATATTTTAATAGACATATGTTTATATACATTTAAATATAGATAATAGTAGATAATTATTAATTAAAATATCATAATGTATAATGCTATGAGTGTGAAAAACGTACCATAATAGATATGGATAAACACTATCAATGAATATAATATTAATACATAATTACCACATGAATGTATAAAAAAACTTTTTATAAAAATAAATCACATCATATTATTTTGTCTTCAGATGTTGTTTGGATAGGAGTTTGAGTTGAAAATCGTAATAATATGAAATAATCCAGAACATGTTATTATAATATTATTATACCTACTGTTTTATGTTCATGATGGACAGCGGTTTATAAGCGGACAAAGGTTAACCATTTTAGACCCACTTCCTGCGTGATTTAAAAAATCAGTTAATTTTATGTGATTGTAATAATTTATTATTATATATAATATATCACAACAAAACTTGTGGAGCCCATTATCTTTTTGAAGAATAAGTGATAACTGAACAAACAAATAATTAAAAAGGTACATACAATAATTTATAAAAAGAGTCGAGAGTGATATACATATTATATTTTTTTCATGGATAACCCATGAATCGTCCTGTAAACTCAGATCACAGCGATATTATAATATTTGCAACGATATAAAACAACAGCTTATAATATAATTATTATAATATGTAACCCTTATATTATAATCTATAGTATCCTTGATCGCATTTCTATCCAAGTACCTGAATATAACACTAGCTCATGTCCCATAAATGTCACGTTAGAACCCACTGCAAAAACTATAGACAAAATAGTCCATTTGCGATAGACTCTCAGTACTAGGAAATCTATCTAACTTTGATTTATTCTTTGATTCTCTACCAGACCTAAGAAGACATTATCCCAATCTGTAGTCTTCTCTCGTATTACATTATTTTCCTATATCTTAATATCATCCTCTTAAGTTTATTATCTGTAATATTATGTCAATCGTAAATGTACATATAAGGCGTCAACTCAATAAATAAATAAATAAATATTACACAGAGGTATAATCGACAGTTTATAACGATAACAATATTGTGTGGACTTGCCTTTTTTGTTGGCGCATTTGTTGTTGGTCATGTCCAGCGCTCCGTCGGCGCAGTTCTTGGCGCGACGTGCAGCAGGTGCCGCCGCGGCTTCTCCATCGAGGGCCGTCCGGTCGTCGCTTTTGAGTATGTCCGCTATGGAAAACGGAGTGAGATTCTTGTCCTCTGTCATCCGTGCGGCGCGGGTGCGGTGCAGACTGTGTGCAATAGTCCACCGATTTCGTTTAATATTGTATAATAGATACCGCGGCACGGGGCGATATTATGATAGCGTACACTGTCCGTCGTCAAAGTTTCTCGGTTTCGACGCGAAGTATATTAATGCAAGTATGTTATTGTATACGGCCCGAAAGCGGGAAGGCCGAAAACGGATTGTGACGAGAGTTGCGTTGGTTGTGTCGCGGTCGGGGTCGCGCTCTCCGTCCCGTTTTCACCCACACGGAAATTCGACCTAAATACTACGGTTCAAGCACCGTGCATATATACCTAAGTATGGTGTGCGGACGGAGTGCTGCGAACGGACGACGATCCAGCACGATATCGCGTCGGATAATAATATAATGTCATAATATATTGTGTGCGCGTGAGTATACTTAGGTGCGACGCGAGTGTGCCGGCGAAGGGTCTGTCGCGGCGGGGTCGAGAAAGGGACCGGCCGCCCGGTAACGGACCAATGGCGTGCGCGCTATCGGTACGCGCGCTCTAGACGCCCTCCGACCACGGGACCGCCCGCCCAAAGTTTCGACTTACGCGGTACATAATATTGCAATATGCGTGTAATAGTGTTGGAGATCGGTCTCGGTATCGAAATCGTACAAGCCGATAATTAAAATCGCGATACAATATATTATATACTTATATATATATCGGTGCATACTATATAGTCGAGTCCCGGGAAAAAAATATTTTCCTTCCCATTTTTACAGACTTAGGACTGTCTAATTACATCTGGTTATTATAGGTATATGCTTAGAAATATTTTTTTTCTAATGTTGGAAATGTTTATTTTCGTGATTTACAATCGTCGTCTGTATAGTTGTTAATAGTTAAATTGGGCTGAAATTTATAAGATACAGAGTTCAATGAATTTTATTACTACTATTATTATACCTAATCAGTGTATTCCAATTTTCAACGGAAAGTACGTGTTACGTAGTCGACGTATTATCCATATATATTATCCATATTATCCATGTTCGTTCATTACATTAGTACTACGATTTTATAAATAACAAGCTGAACCCGTGCACATTGTTGCCCCTTAAAATATGTACCAACTCTATATGACTCAAACTTTGTTCAATTCGTTATTTAATATTCGTTGTATGATGTTTAAAATTTACCTTAACTTTTCCGTTGCCCGGAATAAAAAGTCCGATTCGTAGCAGTATATTATCAGGTAGGCAATCTACTTTCGGTAGATCGCGGACCCCTGCTTTGTATGTAAGTGTATGATTTAACTCTAAAGTATCAAAGTTATATCAAGTTTGTCGTATTCTACCTATGGTGGATGAATATAATCAATTAATACAAAATCCTAACCTAACCTGTTGCATCTCTGTTGTATTTTTGACATCCAGATTTCCTACTTTTCCGGTGGATTTTCCTAAAATTTTGTTTCATAATAACCTTCTCTGTGATATACTCTTTCGTTTAAAAAAAATCAAGAAGATCTGATAAGTACCTAGTTTCAGAGTTGACCCAATATTTTGTCGTTTTGGTCGTGGCATTTTTTAACGCCTAAATCCATACAATTGAAATTGAATAAAAATCAATCTTGTTTAATCTCAAACCAATTAATATTTATCTAGAAAATAGAATTGTGGTTGTCATGTCAACAGACGTTTTTTTCATTTTTCATACATTTTGTTGTTGTTTTTGGTCATGTCGCCAGGTGTGCACTTATGAGGCCATAACTCCGGAACCATTTATTGCACAGCGTACAAACTTCACAGAAACCATCTACATATCAATCTTAATATGTCCTGAAATTTTTTTCGAAATCGGTTCGGTGGATCTTGAGCTATAAGATTTATTCAAAATGTACACTTATTTTTATATATAGTATGTCCCAAAAGTCCCGTATCACCCTTAATATCTCCATTTAAAATCACTATATTTAAACCCGGTTTTTTTTACAGTACTAAGTATGAAAATTCTGATTGAATGGCATAAAATTCATTTATTTTTTTCTTTAAATTCAAAAATTTTCAAAAAAATTTTTTACGCATTTAAGAATTTAAAATTTTTAAGATAGCCATTATGTTGAGCATATTTTTAAAAACAGTTCAAAAAAAAAAAATACTAAAATTAAATAAAAATTGACCAAGTTAAAGCAAGTTATGTTTTTGAATAATTGTAGTAAAAAAATAAATTAGGAATGCAAAAGTATTGTCGTGTGCTGAAATTAGATATTTCATTATTGAAATGTGAAACAATAATTTATTTTTTTACTACAATTATTCAAAAACATAACTTGCTCTAACTTGGTCAATTTTTATTTAATTTTTGTATTTTTTTTTTTTGAACTGTTTTAAAAAATATGCTCAACAAAATGGCTATCTTAAAAATTTTAAATTATTAAATGGGTAAAAAATTTTTTTGAAAATTTTTGAATTTAAAGAAAAAAATAAATGAATTTTATGCCATTCAATCAGAATTTTCATACTTAGTACTGTAAAAAAAACCGCGTTTAAATAAAGTGATTTTACATGGAGATATTAAGGGTGATACGGGACTTTTGGGACATACTATAGTGTATAGATTATAAACGGACCCAATATTGCAATTGATGTTATATAGGTACAGACAATTTTTTTTAAATTTTAATAGACGAACTCATCGAATCTTAAAATTTAGCTATGAACGGAAGTCACTGGGAAATTACGAGATTTAGAATAATTGAAAGTTATAACAAAGATTATTTAGATTAAAGACATTACTGCGGTTTAATTATTCAATTCTGTTGTTAAATTCTTATTTTTATACGACAAAAAATTGCTAGATATAGAGTATTTGTGCATTTTGAAGTCGTCCAAACACGTGCACGGTTCAGTTTCTGTACATATTATTATATCGTCATTTATTATCCAAATATTACCCAATGTTCGGCCACATTTTTGGTTTATCAATTTTTCTCAAATAATATCATAAAATATGCTCATCTGCAAACTGGTGAGTGACAAACAATAAACGATAATATAATTTGAAATGAGACGGACGTTTCCTAAAAAACAACTGCAGTGTACATTATCTACACTCGGGTAAGAAATCCAATATACACACAAGGAGTACAACACAACCCTAAATAAACAAATTCGTATATATATAATATGACGTTTATGTTCTGAGTGAAATATGTACTATATATGTGTATTATATATTATATAATATGATAGTTTATATTATAATTTATAATATATCTTTACGAAAGAGTGCTAAGTGTGGGTTTCATTCATAATTTTATTAAAAATCGTACGAACCGCCGCGGTGCCTCAATAATAATATAATACCATAAAATGCAGCAACTATAACAATATATTATGATATCGTCAGCTTTATTGTATTATGATGTTATTTTATCATTTCGAAATAATCGAATTATAAGAATGGGTATTCACGTTTTTTTCCACATACATATGCATATAATATACTGATAATATTATATAATTAGTTACACACTTAAGTAAACAAAATATATTAATATTGTCGTATTGTATACCAATAAAACAAAAATAGTAAGGAAATCATTACAATGTTATAAAGACTCGAAACCTAATCAGGTTTTTTGAATATTAATTTATTAGTTTCTTACTATATTATATACAATAATTTAATATGAAGGGTATGCAAGGGAAGAACGGAAGTAGGCCATTATTATCGATTTTGATTTAATGATTTGATTTGATAATACATTATAGGAGTAATATTTAGCGTTGAAATCGATTCAGTGAAAAAACCTTTCGATCCTATGCTATTATTCAAGAGAAATGTTAGAAACAGTGGTGAAGAATGCAGCCCATGCCATTGTGGGGAAAACGGGACCAATTCCGAAATATCTATTTATTTTTTTTTAAAAGAGAAAATATATTGAATATGCCATAATTTTGTTTATATATATATTTTTTCCATAATAATCATTACAATTTTTAGTTTACGTTCATTAGTTTTCAAAGTTATTTTACAAAAATAATAGCTCATAAATTTTGTTTTTTTGTTTTTTTATTTAATTTATTATTAGATGGGCAAAACTCGTAGAAGTCTATACACTTTGTTTTGGATTTTCTGAAAAATTAACAGTTATGGATTACTATCATTTTCCTCTGTATATTATACATTTTCGTATTTTTCATTATGATATTCTAATGCTCAAAACATGTTAGAAAATAACTGTACACATTAATACTTAGTAAATTTATAATTTAATTAAAGTTTATCGAATTATAGTCAATTTTTTTTTATAATTATAAATATAAAATTGAATTTTATTCAGATTTCGGATTCGTTTTTTTAATTGATTTCCTTTTGTCGTACTAGTATAGCGTTTTTAATTTTAAAATACACGTAGTTATCAAAGATATTTTGTGTCCTTCAATAAACTTTTTAATAATTTATGTTTACCTATGATTAATAAATAAACACACTAGGTAGATGAAGTTGAACATTTTGACAGTAAATAATAGTTATTTTCTCTGACGACTGTAGAACTGTTAACACAAACGTCACACACTGAAGTTGTAGGTATAGCAATACTGCCTATAGGCTATAAATATATTAGATTAGTATAATAATATACTTTGGTTCAATGGTACCTATATCGTGATTAAATATTAATTACATGATGCATTTAAAACCTTATCTCACGCTCTATATTAATAAATATTAATATAGTTATAGTGTTATACTTTACTTTCTTGGATGCATAAAATAAAATACATTTTGTATATTTATAGTATAAAAATCATTTGCTCGACTACCGTGTGTTTATAGTTTTATATAAAGGAGAACGATTTAGTCGAAGGGTACTTTCTATGTTATACGGTTTCGATGAATATATGTTTACGTAAACAGTATACTGTTTCCCGCATAAACATAACATAATATAGATGCACCGAAGTTACACAAACCATGTACTTTTTATTATGACATTTTTTTTTTGTCTAAAAAAGTACC